TGAAAAGATGCTCAATGTCATTGATAATTAGAAAAATACGTATCAAAACTACATTGAGATATTACCTCTTATCCATCAGAATGGCCACTATCACAAGAATAGAAAACAAAAAATGTTGGTAAGGATGTGAAGAAATTAGAACACTTGTGCACTGTTGATAGGACTATAAAGTGATGTGGCCACATGGAAAACAGTATGGAAATTCCTCAGAAAATTAAAAATAGAACTGCCATAACATCCAGCAGTCCAACTTCTGAGTATATACTCGAAAGAATCTAACACAGAGTTTCAACAAGGGATCTGCACACTTGTATTCACCACAGCCTTATTCACAATAGTCAATAGGGAGAAGCAACCAAAATGTCCACCAACAAATGAATGGATGAAGAAAATGTGGTACACACAATGGAATCTTAGGCAGTTTTTAAAAATATGGAAATCCTGTCACATGCCACAGCATGGATGAAACTCTAGATTAGGCTAAGTGAAATAAGCCAGTTGCAAAAGGACAAATACTGTATGATTTCACTCATCCTAAGTATCTAAAATAGTTAAAAATTACAGAAGCAGAAAGTATAAGGGTGATTGACAGGGCCTGGGGAAAGGTGAAGGGTTTATTAGTGTTTAGTAGGTATAGAGTTTCAGTGTTGCAAGATGTAAAAGTTCTGGAGATCTGTTGCACAACCTGTAAATATACATAACATTACTGAACCGTAGACTTAAAAATGGTTAAGATAGGGGCGCCTGGGTGGCGCAGTCGGTTAAGCGTCCGACTTCAGCCAGGTCACGATCTCGCGGTCCGTGAGTTCGAGCCCCGCGTCGGGCTCTGGGCTGATGGCTCAGAGCCTGGAGCCTGTTTCCGATTCTGTGTCTCCCTCTCTCTCTGCCCCTCCCCCGTTCATGCTCTGTCTCTCTCTGTCCCAAAAATAAATAAACGTTGAAAAAAAATTTTTTTTAAATAAAAATAAAAAATAAAAAAAATGGTTAAGATAGTAAATGCAATGTTATGTGTTCTTATCACAATACAATTTTTTTTTACAAGATCTTAAATCAATAAGCTAATGTTCTATTTTAAGAAACCTGAAAACAGCAAACTAAATTCAAAGTAGGCACATGGAAAGACATAATAAACGAGTATAAATAAATAGAGAATAGAAAGATCGAGGTGTCTGGATGGCTCAGTCGGTAGAGCATGTGACTTACCATCTCAGTGTTGTGAGTTCAAGCTCCACATCGGGTTGGAGCCTACTAAAAAAACGAGAGAGAGAATAGAAGGACAATGAAGAAAGTCAATGAAACAAAGGCTGTTTTTCTTGTCTTTAAAAAATATTTTTAACGTTTATTTTGAGAGAGAGAGAGAGAGAGCGCGTGCATGCGCGCGCGCGCGCGCGCGCACACACACACACACACACACACACACACGTGGGGGAGGGGCAGAGAGACAGAATCCCAAGCAGGACCCACACCATCAACACAGAGCCCAACGTGGGGCTCGAACTAACGAACTGTGGGATCATGACCCGAGCCAAAATCAAGTCAGACGCTTAACTGACTGAGCCACCCAGGTCACAACAGGGGCATCTGGGTGGCTCAGTCAGTTGAGCCACCGACTTGATTTTGACTCAGGTCATGATCCCAAGGTGATGGGATCAAGCCCTGTCTCGGGCTCCAGGCTCGGCGTGGAGCCTGCTTAAGATTCTCTCTTTCTCCCTTTCTCTGCCCCACTCCCCTGCTCGTGCTCCCTCTTTCTCTAACAAAAAAGAACGACAAAAATAAATAAATAAAAGAAAAACAAAGTTGACGACCTTTTTAGCTATACTGAGCAAGAAAAAAAGAGAAAAGAGTCAAATATTAATTTCGGAAATGAAAGAAGGGTCATTACTATTGAGTTTATAGGAATAAAAAGGAATACGAATGAAGTCCAAGAACAAAAGTATGATGATGAATTAGATCATCTAAGTGAAAGGAAAACTCCCAGAAAGACACAAACTACTAAAACTGATCCAAAAGGATATACAAAATCTGAATAGAACTCTAACAAGTAGAGCAATTCAGTTAGTAAAGATGGTTTCACCAGCAAAACTACCAGATGTATAAACAAAAGCTAACACTAATACTTGACAAATTTTCTCCCCAAACGAAGAGGTAATACCTCTCAACTCCTTTTGTGATGTCGGTATTACCTGACACCAAAAGACATCATAAGCAAAGAGAACTCCACACCAATATCCTTTATGAATATATATGCAAAAATCCTCAACAAAATACTAGCAAACTTGAATCCAACAACATAAAAATGATTATACATCATGATTAAGTAGGATTTATCTCAGGACTGCAAGGTTGGCTCAACATATGAAAATGAATCTGTATCATAATTCAAATTGACAGCATAAAACAGAAAATGGCGTGGTAGTCTCAACAGATGCAGAAAAAGTCTTCGACGATATCTAACATCCTTCGTGATATAAACAATCAATGAACTAGGAATATAAGAGTGTATCCTCAACTTAATGAAAGACTTCTATGAATAGACCACGGCTAACATTGTAATGTTGAAGAACTGACTGATTTCTCCCTAAGATCAGGGACACGATGAGAATGTCTACTCTATTTTTTTCCAACATTGTAATGAAGGTTCTAGCCAGGATAATTAGACAGGAAAAAGAAAAAAAAGGCTTATTCCCCCCCAACCCATTTTTATTGAAAAGTAATTGACATACATCACTGTATTAGTTTAAGGCATACAGCATGATAGTCTGATTTACATATGTTGTGAAATAATTACTACAGTAGGTTCATCTAAAATCTATCTTCTCAGATAGATACAATAAAAGGGAAAAAAAAAGAAGAAAAATGAAAAAAAAATCTCCTCATAATGAGAACTCTTAGAATTTATTCTTTTAACAGCTTTTCTATATATCACAGCAGTGTTAGCTGTCGTCATCATGTCGTACATTACATGCCTGGTACTCATTTATCTTATCACTGGAAATTACATGTTTTGACCAACTTCTTCTATTTCCTTCTCTTCTCACCCTCTGCCTCTGGTAATCACAAGTCTGATCTTTTTCTATGAGGTTTTTTTTTTTTTCCTTATAAAAGACATCTTGATTAGAAAGGAAGAAGTATAGTGATCTCTATTTCCAGATTGTTACATGGAAACTCCTAAAGAATCCACAAAACTCTATTAAAAGCAATAAATGAGTTCAACAGGGTTTCGGGACACAAGATCCATACACAAAAATCAACTGTGTTTCTACATACTAGCAATGAACAATCCAAAAATAAAACTAAGAAAACAATTCTATTTATAATAACATCAATATAATAAAATATTTAGAAATAAACTTATAAAAAGAAGTACAAAGCTTTTGCTAAAAACTAAAAACCACTGTTGAAAGATGTTAAAGACATAAATAAATGATAAGATATTCCACGTTCATGAATCAGAAGACTTAAAACTGTTAAATGGCAATACCACTCAAACTGATCTACAGATTCAATCCGATCACTATTCAAATGCCAATTGCCCTGCTTACAGAAATTGAAAAACTGATCCTAAAACTCATATAGAAATGCAACAGATCCAGAATAGTCAACAATCTCAGAAAAGAAGAAAAAAGTTGGAAGACTCATGTTTCCTGATTTGAAAACTTATTACAAAGCTAGAGTAAATAAGACAGCATAATACTGATTTAAGAATAGACTTATAGGGGCGCCTGGGTGGCGCAGTCGGTTAAGCCTCCGACTTCAGCCAGGTCACGATCTCGCGGTGCGTGAGTTCGAGCCCCGCGTCAGGCTCTGGGCTGATGGCTCAGAGCCTGGAGCCTGTTTCCGATTCTGTGTCTCCCTCTCTCTCTGCCCTTCCCCCGTTCATGCTCTGTCTCTCTCTGTCCCAAAAAATAAATAAACGTTGAAAAAAAACATTAAAAAAAAAAAAAAGAATAGACTTATAGACGGGCGCCTGGGTGGCTCAGTCGGTTGAGCGTCTGACTTCGGCTCAGGTCAGGATCTCGCAGTTCATGAGTTCCAACCCCGCGTTGGGCGCTGTGCTGACAGCTGCTGACAGCCTAGAGCCTGTTTCAGGTTCTGTGTCTCCCTCTCTCTGCCTCTTCCCCACTCATGCTCTGTCTCTATTTCTCAGAAATGAATAAACATTAAAAAAAAAGAATAGACTTATAGCTCAGTGGAACAGAATCAAGAATCCAGAAATAAAACCTAATATTTACGGTGGGGGCGCCTGGGTGGCTCAGTCGGTTAAGTGTCCGACTTCAGCTCAGGTCGTGATCTCGCCGTCTGTGAGTTCGGGCCCTGCATCGGCTCTGTGCTGACAGCTCAGAGCCTGGAGCCTGTTTCGGATTCTGTGTCTCCCTCTCTCTCTGCCCCTCCCCCGCTCACGCTCTATCTCTCTGTCTCTGAAAAATGAATAAACCTTAAAAAAAATTAAAAAAAAATAAATTTAATATTCACGGTCAATTGATTTTCAACAAGAGTGTCAAGAAACTACACTGGGGGAAAGAATAGTCTTTACAACGTATGGTGCTGGGACAACCAGATAGACAGCATGAAAAAGAATGAAGTTAGACTCCTATCTTATACCATATACAAAATTAACTCAAAATGGATCCTAAAACAAAATGTGAAAGCTACAATATAAAACTCTTAAGAGAAAGCATGGGAGTAAGTATTCGTGACTGTGTCAGGCAGTGGTTTCTTAGATAAGACTCTAAAACCACGAGTGGTAGCATAAAAAGTAGATAAATTGAACTTTATCAAAAATAAAAATTTTGTGCATCAAAGGACACTATCAACAAAGCGAAACGGCAACTGTGCTTTGAGATGATCTCCAATGGTAACCTCCTCGAAAAGATATAGACCTTAGTGGGGAGATGCCTGGGAATTCTCCTGCCTACCCTTCCCTGTTACTCAAATGTAGCCTCAACACTTTCCATTTTGTGCACTTTCTCTCCAACATGGGACATGTTTCTTTCCAACAGGAAATGTCCCTCCTGGCACCGAGGGACAAAAATCACCAACTGTGGAAAACCTGATTCTTGATCAGTGAAACTTTCAAGGACAGATCTTGATCAAAAGGGAGAAATGTGAAAATAGGTAAAGGAAACCTCATTTATCATGAAGCTGGGGAGCCCTGAAGGGGCAATTCTCACGCATACACATTTGTCGCAGTCTAATAGCCAGCAGGAAGAAGGAAGATCCCTCCCTGTCCCAGAAACACTGCACTAACCGCCACTTACAGCCGATAAGAAATCACCAGGACTCATGTTCTTTTCGGTGAATTTTTGTTCAAAACAACTCTTCTCAATTTCCTCTTAAAACCTAATAAAAGTTGACTTTCCCTTTGTCTCTTCAGACTCCTCTATGTTTTCCCCATAGTTTGATTTTCTCAAATTGCGCTTTCTCAGCTATTCTCAAATAAACTCATTTTGCTAATAAAATAACTGGCTAATTTGTCTTTTTTAAAGTTTATTTATTTATATGTAGAGAGAGAGAGAGAGAGCAGAAGAGGGGCAGAAAGAGAGGGAGAGAGAGAGAATCCCAAGCAAGCTCCATGCTATCAGCGAAGAACCAAATGTGGGGCTCAGTCCCACCGACCATGAGATCATGACCTGAGCTGAGATCAAGACGCTTATCTGACTGAGGCACCCTGTGACCCGCTAATTTTTATTTTTAGGTTGATGGTTTAATTTCTTGATTCTATAGGTTTAAGTCTTTTGCCAAATTTTGATAATTTTCATCTATTATTTCTCTGAGCACCTTTCTACCTTTGCCTTCTTTCTCCTCTCATTCAGGAAGTCTAATGACATAAATGTTAGATTTTTTTTAAAGTTTACTAATTTTTGAGAGAAAGAGAGATAGACTACATGTAAGCAGGGGAGGGGCAGAGAGAGAGGGAGAGAGAGAGTATCCCAAGTAGGCTCCATGCTGTCAACACAGAACCCAATGTGGGGCTCGATCTCACCAACCATGAGATCATGACCTGAGCTGAAATCAAGAGTCAGACGTTTAACTGACTGAGCCACCCAGGCGCTCCCTAAATGTTAGATTTTTGTTTTATTCCCACAGGTCCCTTCGGCTCTGTTCTTTTCCATTCTGTTTCTCTCTGTTGTTTTAACTTGGTTAATTTCTATTTTTCTAAGATCTCGTTCACTATTTCCTCTGTCTCCTCCAATCCCTTGAGTCCATCCAGTGAATTCTTTATTTTGGTTGTTCTGAAATTTCCATTTGATTCTTTGTTTATTTCTTTGGCACAAATTTCCATTTTTTTTTCCAGTTGTTTTGAGTCTGTTGTTCATAATTGCTCATTCAGGTTTTGTTTTGTTTTTTTTATTTAAAAAAAATTTTTTTTTCAACGTTTATTTATTTTTGGGACAGAGAGAGACAGAGCATGAACGGGGGAGGGGCAGAGAGAGAAGGAGACACAGAATCGGAAACAGGCTCCAGGCTCTGAGCCATCAGCCCAGAGCCCGACGCGGGGCTCGAACTCATGGACCGCGAGATCGTGACCTGGCTGAAGTCGGAGGCTTAACCGACTGCGCCACCCACGCGCCCCAAGAAGTGATTTTTCAATTAAAACACGGATATTTTAGGTATTATGTGATGAGATTCTGGATCTTACTAAACCTTCTGTTTTAGTAGGCTTCTTCTAGCTCCTGTCTGGCTAGGGAGGAAGGGAGATGTCAACTTGTTACCACCAGATGCTAGAAGCCAAGATTCCTCACTTAGCCTGAATAGATGTTGAATAGTGGACATCCTTGCTGTATTCCTTGTCTTACTGGGCAAGGATCTACTCTTTCATCATTAAGCATATGTTAGCGGTGGGTTTTCATAGATGTCTTTCATCAAGGACCAATTGAAGAAGTTCCCTTCTATTCTTAATTTGCTGAGGGTTCTAAATAAGGAATAAATGTCTCTTGCTGAGCGTTTTTCTGCTTCCATTAAGAAAACAATCCAATTTTCTTTTGCAGTTTGTTAGTATGGTGAATCACATGGATTGATTTTGTCATCGATTAATTTTTTTTTCAACGTTTATTTTTTTTGGGACAGAGAGAGACACAGCATGAACGGGGGAGGGGCAGAGAGAGAGGGAGACACAGAATCGGAAACAGGCTCCAGGCTCTGAGCCATCAGCCCAGAGCCCGACGCGGGGCTCGAACTCCCGGACCACGAGATCGTGACCTGGCTGAAGTCGGACGCTTAACCGACTGCACCACCCAGGCGCCCCTGTCATCGATTAATTTTTAAATGTAAAACCAACTTTGCATTCCTGGAATAAATCCACCTGGTTGTGATATAGTCTACTTTTATAAGGCTGTTCAGTTTGATTTGCTGAAGTTTTATTAGGAATGTTTGCATTTTTGTTCATGAGAGATATTTGTCTCTAAGGGGTTTTTTTTTGTTTTTTTTTTTTTTGTTTTGTTTTTTGGTTTGTTTTAATGTCATTGGTTTTGGTTAGTGCTGGTCTCATAGAATGAACTGGGAAGTAGTTGACCTGCTTCAGTTTTTGAGAAATATTTCTGTAGAGTTAGCATTTACTCTTTAGATATTTGGTAGAATTCATCATTAAAGCCATCTGGTCTTACAGTTTTCTTTGCGGGTATGTTTTTTAACGTACAAATTCATTTTCTCCAATAGATATACAGCGACTCGGTAATCTATTTCCTCTTGAGTGAGCTTTGGTAATTTATGTTTTTCAATAAATTTATCAACTGTGACTAATTTTCAAACTTATCTGCATACAGTTATCCATAACACTGGCTTGTCGGAATTTTAATATACGTAAAATCTATAATGATGTTATCTTTCATATCTGATATTGATCATTTCTCTCTCTCTTTCTACTAAGCGTCAGATTCAACATTATTGACATTTTGAACTGGATAATTTTGCTGTGGGGGCTTTCTTGTAGGGTGTTTAGCAGCATTCCTGACCTTTACCTCTTAGATACCAGCAACACACTGAGTTGTGGAACTCCGTAGTATCTTTAGATATTTCGAATGTCCCCTGGTGCGCAAAATCACCTCCAAAGGAGAATTGCTGGGTTAGAAGTTTGTTGCTTTTACTGATCTTTGAGAAATACTAGTTTCTTTTTAATGTTTACTTATTTTTAAGAGAGAGACAGCGACAGAGAGAGAGAGACAGAGACAGAGACAGAGAGACAGAGGAGATGCTCAGAGAGAGCTGGAGACATAGAATGAAGCAGACTCCAGGCTCTGAGCTGTCAGCACAGAGCCCACAGCGGAGCTTGAACCCACAGACTGCAAGACCATGACCTGAGCTTAACCGACTGAGCCACCCAGGTGCCCCTGGGAAATAAATACTAGTTTTTTACTTCATTGATTCACATCATTTTTTTATCTTCTACGTCTCTACTTAATATGTTCACTCTCTTCTCTAACCTTCTGAACGTACGGAATGCAATCATAATAAACTGTTCTCATGTCCTTGTCAGCTAATTCCAACATCTGTATAAATTCTGTGTTGACTTTAGTTGATTGATTTTCCCCCTCACTATGGGTCATATTTTCCCGTTTCTTTGCCTACTTAGTAAATTTTGATTGGATACCAAACATTGTGAACTTTTAGCTTATCTTAGGCTTGGATATACAGTAAAACCTTGGATAGTGCGTAAACTTGTTCTGTGAGTACTTCACAAGACAAGCAAACATTTCCAATAAATTTTAATTCGATACATGAGCGATGTCTTGCAATGTGAGTAGGACGTGACACCGAATGTCACATGATCACAACTGAGCCAATGGTTCTTCTCTCTCCCTCTCGCTGCGGGATTCTGGGTGATTGTTCCAGTGCTTGGATGCTCAGTCTCAGTCCGTGGTGTTTGGCAGGACATTGGAAGGTGCCCACAAAAGGCACTAGTGTATTTTTTGTCACTTCACAGCACCTATGGACAGTGCTTTGCTTTTCCATACAAGAGTAAGCTTGGGAATGCTTTGCTTCATTCTAGATCATTGGATAGGTTCCTTGTTAAAGTTGCACGAAAAGAAAAAGATTCCATTGAGCCAATAGATAGCAGGGATGCCATTAGTAATGGTGAAAGTCATCCTACAGTATAATCCCCCTCTCTCGTCTCCCTCACACCAGCCACGAAGGTTTTCAAAGGTAAGTGCGGGTTAATTTGTTTATTTTTCTTGGTATTTTGTATTTTTTTATTATTTCATATTGTATTACAGTATTGTTAGCATTTTGGGGTTGGATATTTTGAATATTGAATATTTCGGGGTGGTGGAATGAATCATCTGAGTTTCCATGATTTCTTACCGGGAAATTTGCTGTGATATACAAACTTGCTTTGGATTACATGCATGTTTCCAGAAGGAATTATGCTCGCAAGCCAAGGTTTTACTGCATTTGCCTTTCTATACAAATTCTTGGGTTTTGGTTTGGTATACAGTTATGTATGTTCCATGGACACAGTTTGATTCTTTTGGTTCTTGCTTATTGGGTAGGACCAGGGCAGGGTTTAATTTGGAGCTCGTCATTTTCCACTATGAGAGCAAGATTCTTATGAATGCGCCGCCTAAAGCCTCATGAATGATGAGGTGTTCCTGACTGGCTGTTAGTCCTATGCACTACTCTGAATGCTGTGAGGACTGTTCCCTTTAATCATCTCATGCCATTCTTTCCTCAGCCTGGGTAGTTTTCTCACATATGTATACTGATTTTCACCCTGCCTACGGGTCCTCTGGGACTACTCCATCATCTCTGGTACTCTGCCTGTGAACTTGAATCACCGTGAGCTCAGCTCTATCTTCCAACCTCTCCTCCATTCCCCACCTGGGACTTCCCACCCCGTGCTGTGGCCTGGAAACTCTTCAGGGGCACAAACCAGTCAGTTATAGTGTCCATCTTACTTTCCACCTCTCGGGGGGTACTGTTCTGTGTTGCCTGTTGTCCAATGTGTTCAAAACTTTGTGTATATATTTTTCCAACAACCAACAGTTGTTTTGGTTAGGAGGTAAATCTGATCTTTCCATTGTATTCAGAAATATAAGGCTATGTAAATATACTTTAAAACTCTGAAAAAAAAAGTGTATGTTCTCAGCAAAATACAGTTTACCAAATTCAATGTAGCAACTAGAAAATGTGAAGAAACATAAAGCTACGGAATAAATTAAAACACAAATCTGTGCCTAAAGTAACATCAGGATCAGATAGCTTTACAGGCAGTGTTTATAAATTATTCAAGGAGCAGATAATTCTAGTCTTATACAAAATGTTCCAGAGGATAAAAAAATGAAGGAATGTTCTCTATTCATTTTATTATGCTAATGTAACTTTGACACCAAAACCATTCAAGGACAAAATGAGAAAGGAAACTTTTAGGCCAACCTTGTTATGAATTCAGATGCATAAATTCTAAATCTATCGACTATGGTTGATTCACAATAAAGTTTCAACAAATATGCATTGAAGTAATGGATACCAGAC